GCCACCCAGAACTGGCCAGGGGACACTTCAAATTTTGGAAGTCACAAAGATGAGGAAAATCTAGCAAAGAGATTATGAGATTTTAGGAAAACTAAGAGTAAAGTTTTCTAAAATCAAGTAAATAAAATGTTTCAAGAACAGCATGAGGATCTGTGAGAAATGAGAGGCCAGGATAGGGGAAGAGGTAGTGTTGCAGAGAGAGTGAAATAAGAGTGAGGGAGAATGGCTCAGAGGTTGGCAGGAAACTGCAAAAAGGAAGGGGGAAAGGTGATAACGTCAGAGTCTACTTTCAAAGGAACTGTAGATTTACGGAAATGAAGCAAACAATGATCTCGAAGCATGCATGAGGGGCAAGGGAAACCACCACCCCACATCACATTCTCCTCTTTGTCCGTCCTCCCACCAGGACCCCGGCAGGTTGATTTACTCTTCCTACCCTGGGATGGATCTTCAGGGAATCTCATTTGGGCAAAACAGACCCCAAAACCAGGCTGGTCAAATCTAGGGGTGCTTCAGAGGCTTACACCCACACTAAGGGAAGCCCAGACTCCTAACACACAGAGTGGATAAAAACTCAAAGTCTGGGCTGGGCACAGTGGCTCAAGCCTGTAATCCCAGCACTTTGGGTGGCCGAGGTGGGTGGATCATGAGGTCAAGAGATGGAGACCATCCTGGCCAACACAGTGAAACCCCATCTCTACTAAAAATACAAAAATTAGCTGAGTGTGGTGGCACATGCCTATAGTCTCAGGTACTCGGGAGGCTGAGGCAGGAGAATCACTTGAACCTGGGAGATTGCAGTGCGCCGAGATCGTGCCACTGCATTCCAGCCTGGTGACAGAGAGAGACCCCATGTCAAAAATAAATAAATAAATAAACAAAACAAAACAAACAAAAAACATACCCAATGTTGGTCCTGAAACAGATCTACTCACCTCAAGATGCTCTAGATCAGTGGTTCTTAATGGGGGATGATTTTACCCCCCAGGGGACATTTAGCAACTTCTGGAGACACCTTTTTTTGTCACAACTGGGGAGGTACAGGGGTTAAGTTGCAATTGGCATCTAGTAGGTGGAAGCTTAGGATGCTGCTAAACATCCTACAATGCATAAGACAGCTCCCCACAGCAAAGATTTATCTGACCCAAAATGTCAATAGTGCTGAGGCTGAGAAATCCTGCCCTAGACCAAATGACCTAGGCACAGGAGCTTTTGGGTTCTTTCATACAGGCAATCTAACCCATCCTTATTAGTTTATCCATGCCAGTTCTGACAGTGTATGGCTAAGGAGCCAGACCATAGTCATCAGCCCTATGACATTCATTCCAAATCCACTCAAATAGAGCCAGGAAAAGACAGAAGGAAAACTTGAGGTTAGCTAAATAGTAGATGTCAAAAGGAAAAAAGAAATTGTATTGTATATTAAATGTTAAAGAGGCAAAATTACCAGACATGAGAGCAAGCAGAAAGACCTTTCCTTAAATTTAATAAAGCAGAAAATGCAACCCTTTTTATTTTGAATAATAAATAACACCTTACATTACAGTGACGTTCAAAAGCCAGCATGCAAGGCCAGTAATCCCAGAACTTTGGGAGGCCGAAGTGGGTGGACTGCTGGAGCCCCGGAGGTCAAGATCAGCCCGGGCAACATAGCAAAACCCAGTCTCTACAAAAAATACAAAATTTAGCCAGACATAGTGGTGTGCACCTATACTCCCAGCTCTTTGGGAGGCTGAGGTGGGGAAACCACTAGAGCTTGGGATGTCGAGGCTGTAGTAAGCCAAGATCGTGCCACTGCACTCCAGCCTGGGCATCAGAGTGAGACCCTGTCGAAAGAAAGAAAGAAAAGAAAGAAGGAAAGCAGGAAAGAAAGCAAGAAAAAGTCAGTATGCTTTCTTAGCTCTGCCTACTGCCAAAATATTCCTTCAGCAATAAGGTGCGGCTTCCATATTCGTGATTGCAAAAGGAAGCTAATTAAAATGAGTATTTTTGAAAAACATTCTGGGAATTCAAAATAATTAATGTGTTGCTTTAAAAAATGAGAAGTGATGAATCTTGATGTTAAGGAGTCGACATGTTTACCTCATCAATATTTCACAGGTGTATTGCCATGGAAATACAAGAAATTATCTACTGCTGGCCTTCCCAGAATTCCCTTTTATTCTTTTTCAGAATCTCTTATCAATTAACAGTTTCCCCTTCCTTAAGGTATTTCCAGAGAAATTTCTTTAAATGATTCTGCTTTCTACATGGAAGGCATTCCAACTCTGACATTTCTATTTCTACTTTGAAATCTGCTCTAGGAAAGTTTTAAACTCATGCACATGGGGAGAGGATGGCTATGTCTTAATGAGAAATTAGATCATCCTGCCTAAGCCTCTATCAGCAGGCTGTCTGGAATCTACTGAGCTGTTTTATCGGAAAAAGTCTTCCAGCAAGATAGTTTATGTGCATGCTGTTAAAGGAGTGAACCTCTTAGTGAAGTCGTAGTTATCTATGACCCCTGACCGGAGAGGAGCCAAACAAATTAGGCCTGGTCAACAACTGTCTCCTGCAAGGCTGGGAACAGTCATAGCTTTAACAAAGAGAAGGGTCCTCAGCCTTCCCTCCTCTGTGGTGCAAGGATTGATAAAAGGAGTCCCTGAAGGAAGGAGCACTTCAAATATTTCTCTTCAAAACATATCTCTACCATGTCTCATAGTGTTCCTTACAGGACTGCTATACCAGAGGGCCCGTGTCTACTGGATGCTCCATAAATCCAGAAAAGGAGCACATGTATTGGTATTCTAAGAATATGACAGATTTTTTTTTAGAAATGTAATATAAGAAACACGCATATATACACAAACATGCATAAATATGTATGTGTATGTATGTATACACATATGTAGAGAGAGGGAGACAGAAATTAATTGAGTGATCAATTCATTTAAGAAAAGTAAATTAGAAATATTGTAAAATGTCCATCAGGAGAATAGTCAAGCAAATGATGGTATGTTTATACAATGGAGAAAAATCGGAACAAAAATTGCAAGCATGCCTACCATATGTCAGGTGTTTTCACATTATCTTATTTAATTCTCCCTGTCAATTATCCTTTCAGGTAAGAATTATTATCCCCAATTTAAAGACTAAATGAAAAGCACATAAAAGGCATTAATAAGTTGCCTGGGGTCACCAAGCTGGTAAAGAGAAAAGCTGAGATACACATCCAGGTGTTTTGACTTCCTGCCCAGTGTTTCTCCCATTGCATCCGTCTCTCCCTCAAGATCTATAATGTGAACTAGGTCAATCAATGGAATTGTAAATATAAAATAACGGTAAACAAAAAGCAAGTCATAATGTAGGTGCATTGATTTTCATCACATGAAATTTTATATGTACTGAAAATGACGATAACCAGGAGACTGACAGAAAAAAACCCTGAAATTAAAATCATCAGAACTTGTTCTTCCTATTAAGTTGCTTAAGCACTCAAGAAAATCACCAAAATTAGCTCCTCAATGCATGCCTGTTCCAAGCTAATTAAAGTTCAGAAAACTCTGTTAAAGGCTGAATGTGACTGGGCCAGGTTAAGATAGAGAAATACCTCATCCTTCCTAAAATTCCCAGCCCCTTCAGAGCCAAAGTGACTGGCAAAGGGATGCAGTATATCAAAGGATGGAATTTCTGTAAGTTAAAAAGCTTTGAGAACAAGTTCCTACCTCGGCAGAAATCTCCTTTTCTTAAAATTAGCACTTATACCATATAACGTTCTTTGAATTCTTCCTTCAAACAAAATAATTTAATTGAGGGAGATTCTCTTTGCAGTGGCTCTGCCTAGAGAGCATCTGTCACCTGCAGTCGAAGAGAAATACTGTAATACCTTCCCTTCCAGTTCCTCTCCTCAGATTTGGGGGCTACACTGTTGCCTAACAGAGTGGCCAAAACCAAAGCATGAGTCTCACTTGGGCCTTCTCACATCATGCTGCAACTTGCAGAAATAACCCGGAGTGAACGTTGTGTGTTGGTGCTCCCTCCTCCAAAGAGCAACTGGGAATTCACAAGAATAACTGTCTTTCCAAACTCCGAAAAGGCTCACCAAGTGTGCAGTCCTCCTGTGCTCAAATCCATGAGCTGAGAATTGAGCTAGATGCCACTTTTATCTTGCCCCTTGGTTCTTTCGTTTTTATAATAGGCAGGTATGTATGTCTTCTAATTCAGCAAAAGAATGAAATGTTGACAAAGGTTTTCTGAGATTGTTTTTAAAAAGAAAATAGCCTATAAATACAATTCATACCGGTGTCAGTTTCTTTATGAAAAGTATTTCCTACTAACAAAAAACATGGAAATCCAAGTTCCCCAACTGGTTTCCCTTAAAACCTCTGTTTTGTTTTAAAGTTACATAATAATAACCTCCCTTGGTTCTCTTTTGTTTTAAAACTCCCACCTATTTCCTCTCTTCTTTTGTCTTGACTACTACTAATAAAGAATCCTGGTTCAAGAATCCAGGAAAATGCCTGAAACAACTACAATAGGATTAGCACATATTATTAAATTTGAGAGTAGCAATTTGAACCATAATTAATTCGAATCTTCCTAACAACTACACAGAATAAAATCAGTTTGCTAACATGGCTGGTCTCATTATTGGCTTCTGGCTGTGGCCCCAAACGTTTAATAAGGACATCTATCCAGATTTTTAAAATATGCCAGCCACCCTATTAAAAGCTTTGTATGTATTATCTCATTTAGTCCTCACAAAAATTCTAAGTAGTAATTATGAGAACTGTTACTGTTGTTCCCATTTTAGAGATGAAGAAACTAGGGCAAAGAGAAGTTGAGTAACTTGCCCAACATACATCATTCATCTAGTAAATTGGGAACTAGAGTCGAACCCCACACAGTCTGGCTCCAGAACCCATGGGACCACCACACCATCACTGGTACAGACTGCTATGGCCATTCAGCAGGCTCCTGTATCTGCAAGCCACCGATCCCAAACACAAACTCAAACTCACATCTCTCATCATTTTCACTGCTTCCCTGGTCCTCCCGAGTCTTCTGGCACACATTGCTAGCCTTCTTTTGATGTACACCAAGACATTGGTGTCTCGTCCTGAAGAGGGAGATATAAAACACCAACATTTAAAAAAAAAAAAAATACAGAGGCCCATTTGCCTTGCCCCTAAAGGAAATCTTCAGAGCACTGACAACTTTGTTAACAGTAGAATGAATATCAAGTAAAGTAAAAGCATTTAGACTCCCAAAGGTCAAATCATGTGACTGATTACCTAATCCATGCTTCTGAGTGAGGATGTTGAATATTTGATAATAAATAAAATCATCTGCCACGAAGTGCTGCGAAAATGAACATACCCACAATGTATACGGTTTACAAGCAGGAATTCCACATTCTTCAAGTGTGCATTCTTTTGGTAAAGATGCAGAGGTGAATCTCAGGTTGCATCCTGATGAACTATTTTTGTTTCATTCTTGACATTAAGTCTGGAGAAGCCTCATCTTGAACTTCTGCTTCATATTATTCTTTCCCTAACACTAGTGACATCATAATCATCTCCAGGTCCCCTAAGCAGTTGATTTTAGATGGCAATATAACACATTCCAGATATGACAATAGAGTATGCAACAAAATGAAAAACTACCCTAGTGTTAGAGAAAGAATTGACAAGCTAAATAGCTGTAACAATAGTCACTAAAATGACTCTTAAAAAAAGTACATTAACAACTTCTAATCTTAATCTTTTATTTAATTATATGTCTTGTTGGATATGTTTTCAGACCAATGAGAACATGCATGTGTTTAATCCTCGATAAAAATTACCACGTTTGAGAAAAATATGACACACCTGTTATAGATTAAGTACATGTATAATATGCAGCTATTAAAAGATGTTAAGACGAAAGTCCTAACATTTCAAGATTGAAACAATGAGAACAAGATGTGTGCTGAAAATTTGCCAAGTACCTACAAATTATTTTAAAAATGTGATTATATTTTTGGATTTAGGCAACAGGTTGAAAGGATTTAATTTAGAGAAGAAAAGAAAGAAAATTAATGTATTATAGGTTATGTAATTTTATGTATTGATTTCCATTTAGTTTACAAAATACACATTTACTACATGTCTTCAAAATGCACTGCATTACACTAAAACACTTTTTTATTAAAAAGTGAGACATAGATGGTGATTAGAGATTTTATTAGCATATAGATGCTGCAAAATAAAAATAAAAACCTAGGTATTGATGTGGTACATGTGAGGACATACTCACGTATATGCAGGCTGTAATGCAAAGATTTTGCTGACACCTTAGTTATGGGGACTAATGCAGTCAGTTTCTACACCAAATCCAAGTTTAACATTAACATTTAATTTTATAATCTCAAATATGAAGGAGATACATCCCTACTTCCTAAGTTTCAGGAGGGAGAAACTAAGTGAGAAACAAAATAACTTTGTGAATTTTGGTTGGACCATGGAAATACTTACTCTCTTACCACAAGGACTGCAAAAGTTCTGCTTAAACAACAAACAAACTGATGAGACGAGGGAGTCAGGGAATTCCAGAAAAGATTGCATTGTTTTCTTTCTATATGGTTCCCCTACAAAGCGTCACTGACTTTCCATTTAGTATACTGAAGTGAAAGGTCTCGGGTTTTAAAGCGTTATCTTAAATTTAAAAGGGCAGTTTTTGTTTGTTTGTTTAAAAAGGTATTATTTTAATAGAAAAAAGATAAATAACTAGGAGCTCGTGGCTCTTTCTCTCTGGAAGCCAATACAAATGTTTCTTATGTAACAAAAAATACTGATACAATCACCAAGAACTTATATTCTTAACTGTCTTATTTTAATCCATGTTACAGAAGATCTATAAGATAAAACCTTTGCTAACACTATGGCTAATTTAAATCCTGTTTCCCAACTGGGTTTTAAAGTTATGAGCAGAAGCGACTGATGAACAGAAATATGTAAGAACTCAGGAGGGAAAAAGGTTACCATCAAAGATTACTGTCATTTATTTCTGGGGTTAGGAGTCTATGGGCAGGAAAGAGAATGTGACTATAAACAGTAATGAAGCTGTAAGTTAATTATTTACTAACTGCACTTACAGGAAAGAAGAAAATTAATAAAAATAAAGCAAAAGCCAATATTTTCTCTTGTTTAGGAGAATCATATTTTGAACTGGACTAAAAATTTGCTCTGATTAATAATTTTTACAATTCTGATCCCCCAATGCATCAACCTGGAGGAAACCTTACTATGTTGGGCTTCATACTGGGATCCATGATGTTGTAGCTGCTGAGAGCGTCGGTAACAGCCATCTCCAGCCTTCAGAGCCTGCTTAAATAGTTTTTCTGCTTCAGCAATGGTGGTTGCTTCCTCTTCAGCCAAAAGAATATAAGCAGTTGCACACCTGTTCATTCAGATAATAGCCACCATCAATTACAAAGCCAAGGACATGGTAATAGACTTGTAGGAGCTCATGCAGAAAGGCAAGGAGTTACGCCAAAACATGCAGAGTGGCCAACTGGTTCATGCACCCCTGTTTGTAGTTGCTGACACAAAATAATGGTACAAAAGAAACATCTATATTTTAGCTTGAGAGGTAGGATGTGTAGTGTTAGGAGCATGGGGCTCACATATGGACTCCACCCTTTATTAGTGTGTCAATTTGGGCAAGTTCTTACTCTGCCTCCCTGATGGAGAACAACATGGAATCTTTGTTCACAGTGTTGTTGTGAAGGTTAAGTAAGATGATGCATGTAAAGTGCTCAGTACTATAGCCAGCATGTGGTTAAGTGCTCAATAAATGTCAGCTAGTGATGGTGATGATAACAGCTGTTATTAAATAGTTCCTTCCAACACTTAAAGTTAGAGGTGCTATATACAGGTTTACTTCTGTTAACCAAACACAGATTATCTTCAATCTAAGGATTTCTTCAGAATAAGAAATCTGTTAAATCAAGTTACTCACTGAAAAAAACACAGTGCTTCAACATCTCTTTACAGTTAGCACTGACTTTCTGCTTCAGAGAACATGGGAAGAACCTACAAGTAGTGTTATTTCTGAAGAACTCAAAATCTGACTCAGCCACAGTAGCTAACAAGTTAAATCTCATGCCTTCAACAACAATAGCTATCACTTGTTGCTCAGTATCTATTAAGCACCGTGCCAGGCACTTAACATATATCATCTCATATAATCCTTTCGACAAGCCTCTAAGGTGGGAAGCCAAAAGGATAATTAATGAACATGGGGAGTTCTTGGGAATTTAAACCTTCCAAAGCATATGAGGAACAACCCACTGCCAAAGACAGGGAATGGAATAGGGCAGTAGTGAGGCTGTAACAGACCACACAGGCCCTGCACCCATCCTTCCACTTTCCTTCCCCACTGCCTCACTTGTGGCCATTTCCCTACTTATTTCCATCAGACCACAAGAGAGAAAATAAACAGAAAGTAAAACCAAATGCTACTTCTACTGTCCACAAACTGCAACAGCCAGCTAGGAAAAGGAGGCTGAACTTCACAGCTAATGTAAGGGTTGGGGCTACTAATTAATCTTAGCCTTAGGAAGGGTCTGTAAGGTCTTCAGTCAATCTCTCTAATTTCAGGCAGGAACCATCAATGGGGCTTTAAACAATGTGGTGAGGGAGGGAGAAAAATGCCCAGAAAAACAGCTATAAAACCAATTTCTACAGATGGCAGCATCCATGACTTGGAAAGAACCATAATGATGCTGAAACTATCCAAGTGATTCACTGGAGAAAATAACTGGGACAGGCATCAGAAGAAATGCTTAAGGCTTCAGATGCCGACATATAAATATGAGCAAGGGTAATGAAGTGAAAATTGAGATTGTAATACTGAGTGGTAGATACAGTATCAGAGGAATTAACTGTAAGATTGTAGTTGTTGGGCTGGGAACCCAAGAATGGTTGGGGCTAGCTTGCTTGCTTTGCTTATTTAAATTTCAAATGGTATTCTTAGGAGGAGAGGCAGAGTAGCACTACTGGCCAAGAAACATACATCTATGTGGAAACGCATGAGTTTGGGGTAGAAACATGCTAAGAGCTTGTGAGTGAAGGAAAAAGGAGAGAGCAATAGAAGTGCTAATGGTTGGGGAGTACAGAACAGACTGCTCAGCTCGATGGAAGATATAGATGATGCATCCTTGTCACAACACAATACACACACAGAAGCAAGAAAGTGTGGTGATGGGGTGTCAACCATCCAGATATCCACTAGAAGTCTCATTTGGTTAGAAGTAGGGCACCCAACAGGTTCTTGACTTACTTTGGTAACAATTTTATCTCCCAGATGGTAGAGGAAGCAATTAGGGGAACTTCAACTCTGGACCTAATTCTGACCAAGAAGAAAAAAATAGTTGGTAAAATGAAAATTGATAGGAACATTCAGAGAGAGTCACTATGTCATTTCGGAGTTCAGGGTAATCAAAGAGGGGAAGGTGGACTTCAAAAAATTCAAAGAAAAGAGGCATGATTCAATGGCATGAGACTCAGAAGGAAAAATGGTTTAAGAGGGTTGAGCAGCTTCTAAATGTTCAACTGTAACTGCAATCACAAATGATCCTCTCAGGAAGAAAAGAGGGGTGGCACTTAAGTAACCAATACGGCTTCACAGAGATTTCTCCCAGGTCAGATTTTTAAAGGACGTATTTTAAAAGATGGAAAGAGGGCATGTAATGATGGTCTATAAGAGAGTGGAATGAGTTTATAAGAATAATGTCAGGAGAGCTACAATTCCAAATTAGCTGATGCTTGCAAATAATAATAATAATAATAAAGACAAAATAAAATACTAAAGACAACCATGTATTCCCTATTTTAAAATTATGTTTAAGGCCCTATCACCATCCCCATGTCACAAAAGCAAATAAGCAAAAAAAAAAAAAGACAAACAACACAACAACATCAAAACAAGGAAGGTTTATTGTTAACAGCAGTAGATAATAAAGAAAAAGCAAAACTCCTTCCTATTTTGTTCCTGGCTTCTCTACTAAGGAGAATGACTGTCAGACTGAAAAAGGGAGAAGAAATTAAACTCTAAAATGGGTAAAAAGATGTAAGATAGCAAATAATTGATCCATTCTAAATGAATTACTGGACTGGATGGGCAAATCCCAGGAAACCAAAAGACCTTGTAGGCAGGCCATGGAATTGCTCTCTGTGGATAGTCGAGGAATCACAAAGAATGGAGAGGTGCTAGAAGATGAGATGATAAATGTAGCATAAATTTTCAAAAAGGGTAAGAAGGCTGACTTCCCAAACTACAGAGCACAGTGATTTGGAAAGATATTCTAATGGATTATTAAAGGGATGGTCTCCAAGCACTTTAAAAAGAAAGTAGTGACCACTAGAAGCCAGCTTAAATCCACTAAGAATAAATAAATCAGATTGTGCTAGCTTAATTTACTCTAATAGATTTACATGAACAATACAAAAGATGGTGATTCATGAAGACATGAACCTGGAGGGTAGTTTCTACATGTCATGTCACAGGGCTCTATTCCTGGCCCTCATATTTTTCTCAGAAACATGGATGACACACAGAAGGCAGGCATATCGAATTTGTAGATGACAAGAAACTGGAAAATAAATATGTTGCATGACAGAATCAGAAACCATAGATCAACTGGTTACAATGGCAGGATTTCCAACTCTCAAGACAATCTTTTTTTTTTTTTTTTCCTAAGACCTCTGAAGAAGATTCTGTAACCTTCTTTAGAAAAATCATAAAATAGTTTAGCAATGACCACTTGGCAAGGATAGTGTTGAGGTGATTCAAGCACCAGATGGGTGGTTGAGCTAAATGACCTTTAAGGTCTCTGCCAACCCTGAGTTTTTATGACTCCAACTTTAAGAATCTTTCTCATTTTCTGAGATCTCCAGAAGAGATTTCCCAGCCTTCCTTGGTAACCCATAGAATGTTTAACAACACTCAAGACAGCATTTCCTCTTATCTTTGTCTTAATCTTGAAATATTTTCTAAAATTTTTTTTAAACCTTATGTTGTTATCATGTTTTCCCCACTAGCAGAAGTTCTACTAGAAAACGTTCTAGTGCACATGCGCAGTCTACATCTGGAAAAATTTCCCTGTCAAAATGTTTTAGATATGTAAATAATTGTATTTATTTTATATCTTCACAATATCCTAGGGAAAGCCCTTCAAGAAATTAATTTAGGATTATAGCAAAGCCATTGAATTTCTCTCTAAAATGACTAAAACCACCTCCACACAGTGGCTGTCCTTCATTTAAAAAGAAAAACAACTTTTTTAAATAGAGTAATAACTCCCCAAATCATCCTCCAGTTCAAATGCAGTTTAATTTAAGTATCCTATCAATGGCAACTGAATATATTCAGCAAAGGATGAGATTTCCTTTTTAACGGCAAGATTTTCCGCCACTTACTCATTTATCTCCAACGCTTCATGAGCTGCAGAAATCCTAGCTTGGGGGTTTCTCTCTCTCCAGGCTTTCTGCATTACTATTTAAGAAAAAGAGAAAAAAACCAAGTCAATCTATACATATAATTAGGTAGACTCAGTAGAGGACAAGAGCTAAATTGGGAATGTCAGCTTAAATTACAAGAATATAGTTCATTGCTAAGAGGGTTGGCCAAAATCTCCAAAGTCACATTAATGTGCTATTCCACTGTGTTTCAACTGCTGATAGCAAACCTTTTTTGTGCTCACAAAACTACAGGCTAAGGAAATCAAGAAAAGGCACTCTAACAGAGATTTTGCATGTCGTTTGCACATTAATGTCACTTGTTTTTGGAGAACATACATTATTTTACACATTTTGAGATGACATTGCTACTAACCTCTCCATTCACTTAGATGCAACATAATTGGTCATTTTCTGAAGCACTTACTACAGACTCTTGGTGTTAGAACATTTTGAAACCATTTCAGGAATGATGTGTGGGTCAGTAATAAGTGCTTTAAGCTTTTGCTTAACATTACTGACATCCCAAATTTACCTGCAAACCTAGCTTTTATACATCAGAACAGTTTCTGAACATATGGTGGGAAGCTCAATGTTTGGGAATATTTATTGTACCATGATGTTTCTACCATAGCAAAGAGTACCATTTTACAAAGGAGTAACAATCTCCTTATTTATTTTATAAATTTGTATTTTATAAATTCTTTTAGAGTGTGCAGAGGTTCCCTTTTAAAAACATTTTTTCACCTATTTACTTTGAGTTAGTTTTATAATACAAAAAATTTTGGTTGAAT